AGTCAAAGAACAGGCTAATAAATCTACAACTAGAATAGACAGTGTGGAGTTACGAACAACACAGCTTTTGAAATGCTGATTCACATTTTACATTCAAAAGCTCCAGAAGGACTGTCTGCAAGGTGCTCGGAGCACTTGCTAATTCACACTGGCTTTCCACAGACAGTGCTTAGATAGCCAGAACAACTCCATATAAAAAACAAAAGAAGGGGAAAAAAAAGGGTACCTGGAAACATGACTTCAGATCAAGGCTTGTTTGTGGACAATAGCCACTGGTCTTCAGCCAGTCACTGAAGACCTACAGTTATCAGTGGGAGCCAAAAGAAACTTAGGAAGTCTCAGTCCATCTCACTCTCCCTTGTGCTCTCCATTTGCTATCCAGGAACAGTTCTGGTCGAACTGGCCGAAAGCTCTTCCCTCTACATGCTCTTGAGGTTTTCAGCCATTTATCTGGCAAGTGACCCTATTAAGTGCAGAGAGTGTTTAGGCAGGCTACACATCAACCAATAACCTGCCAGTTTGCCAGAGGCATAGCACAGATGCTAATGCAAAGATCAGCTTGATACAAGAACAAGAAAAATTTGTTCTCGATGAATCTGTTTACCTTCCCTCTCCTAAACAGCCCAGAAAAGCTTAGACAACTGCTCACTTATTCCACCTTCACTGATACTGCCTCTTTGCATGCAAATCTTGGCAAGATGACCCGGCAACATTTTACAATTCATGCTGCAGACTTATCATGGTGTCTGTGTGAGTCTGTTCACGACTGACAGACGACAGAAGCCAAGTTCAATCTCTAATCAAAATTCACTTTAGACCACCAGAAGTCCAACTGCTTTCTGCTCTGCTTTCAGGTCCATCTGGATCCCCCCCCATCCACTGGGCACAGGAGAGCACCAATAACCTCATCCTAAGAGCAAGGAAGGCTGTTCCGAGATCACAACAACTGCCTCACAGCGCTCGCAATTACAGATTTCTCTGCAGGAAAAGCTGGATAGGATGCCTTTTTTCCCCTCCTTTTTCCTTCTGAACTGAGGCCACATGACTCAGATGTGAGCCAGCTTCCAGGAATGAACAACAGATATTTGTTCCCCTGCCTCAGTTTCAGAACTTGGCATGACCTCCTCATATGAAAAGTAACAGCCCCAAACAGCCTGCATCATGACAGAAACCCCTACCAAACTCCAGGCTTGACTCATTACCTCAGGGAACAGCATCCAAAGCAACTTCAGATTCCAACAATTCAGATACAGAAAGAATACTGGGCAGGAAAGGAGAGGTCCCTGTATGATAAGTATCAGTAAACCAGAAACAAAAGCCATTCATAATTTCCACAAAAAGTATGTGCTAAAAGAAAGAAAACAAACAAATGAAACACTCTGCCAGAGGAGACAA